TATTCTGTGAAACAGAAAATTGCTATTTTAAAATTTTTTAAAAAAAGAAAAAGAATATAAAAATAATATATAATAAATATAATATATATAATATATATTATATATAATAAATATATAATAAATATATAAAATTTACTTGCATTAAATCAATAATTATATAATAATCATTACACAGAAAACACAGTGGGATTTCGATCCAGAAATTGGAAAGCAAAGACGAATTAGATACGAGCAGGAAAATGGTCATCATGGAGAATTTGCAATAGCGAAGTTAGGTATGGGAATCGGATACAAAGAACCATGGGCAGAGCCTGTACAAAAACTCATAAAAAACTCCTAATCTGTAAAAAACCAATAAAAATTATCTTAGTATATGTAAAATTCTTAAATTAATTGTACAAAAAAATAATTTATAAAAAAGTAAATGTAAAAATGTTTTTATTAAATAAATTGGATGATATCTTAAATAAATTATGTATATATATTAAATAATGTTACATATATTTCATTTTGATATATTTTTTAATTACTTTTTTGTCCATGTTATACACGGACTATTTTTTTTTTAAATTCAGAAACAATATATATATAGATATTCATAATTTTACATATTAATTCAAATCGATATTGTTTAAGGATTAATTATATTTTATTTAAAAATCTATAATTATTCTTTTTTCAACTTTTTCAATAATTTACAATTTTCGATAAATTTTAAAATAAATTTTCTAAAATTGCATCATAGTAACTCCAAGAGGTGCAAAGTACAAAGTATCCTGTTCGACTTTCACTTGATAAAAGATGAAGTGGGGAGAGAATGGAGAATTATAACGGATATCAGAATAAGGTAAGTAAAGACGGAATCAGAAAAACAGAGACTGACTGTATGGATTGTCGTGTTGCATCTTTCCTATTGTATTTTTTAAATTAAAATAATTTATGTTTTTTTCTCTTCAGTGAAAAAAATATCAAAATAAAAAGCACACGTATATTTGGCGTTACACTTAGTGACTTTTCAGAATTTTCATTTCTATTGAAAGTATTTGTGTACACCTTGCAATCATTAAAATGACAAGATACGCTTATGTAAGTATATAATAATAAGTAAAAATAAATGTACGAATAAAAAATTTATCAAATTAAAATTTTATATGTCTATTGAAAAGAATATAAGGAGCATGATAATTCTAATAAAATAAATCTCGAAGTTATTTCTTGCTCTATGTATAAATATATAATATATATGTTATATAAAATAATACTCTTTTTTTTTTTCGTACTATTTATTATGAAACATTTAATAGATTCATTTAAAGTATATGCTGAATGTAGGACATTTTTTTATATATATTTTTTATTTCGACATGCTAATATTAATTGAACTACTTTCAGTGGACGACCGTGATCTTTGCAATAACCATCACTTTTTTATTTGGATTAATCATCGAAACCACAGCAACAATAGCTCAACCAAAGGCACCTAATTTTCAGTATTTTGAACGGTAAGAAATTAAAAAACATACAAAAAGTATAAAATTATGTTTAAAGTATATAAAAAATGAAGTGAGAATAGTAATTTGTTACACAACAATTATAAAAAAGATTATAAGTTCCTTATATACATGTTAAATATTACAATTAATATACAAGTTAAATTGATATAAAATCTATTAACAAATATATTAAGAAAATAATTATTTAAAACCATGAAACATAATTTTTTGAAAAAAAAAAAAATTACAAGATTGTAATAAATACCTGATTCACAGGCCTAAATATCGCTATCCATATTATGATGAAAATGGCAGAGGAAAATTACTCTATGGCTATGGAGGACCAGAATTATATCAATACAAAACTTATAGTGGTCTCGAAGGTATCCATTAAAATTAAAATAACAAGAAGTACTAAATTATAAATTATATATGAACAAATTAAAAATTAATGATCGTTTGTGAAATGATATGACATAATACGTAGACGTATTTTTGTTTCCGATTACAAGAAAATAATTATATTTTATATTATAATAATTGTTGTAATAATAATATATTATACATTTTCAATTTTTTTATTATAATTATATTTTTTCTTGTCATCAGGAACATATCGAATTATGTTATGGAATTAAAGAACATTACAAGATTGTTTATTCTTTTAATTATAACCAATTGTATTTTTAAATGCAATCGATCGATATGCTTAATTATGTCGTAAATATATGTTTCTTCTTCACGGATTATTATTTTTATTATTAGATACTGCGATTTATAATTATCGCGAAAGAAACGAATAAATATATTTATCTTAACAGATAAATATTTTTATTAATGATATTTATCAATAAGATGAATGAAAAAATGTGTTATATATTAGAATATTATGATTAATCAAGACAAAAATTACTATAAATACGATTACGAGTAATATTAAAATCGATCGTCTACGAAAAATTAGTGGAATGTGCATAGCATTTCTAGAATCTATGACATGTCTAATACAATCATTGTAAGGACGAGAAATGGTTAAATTCTAAGTCTAAAAATCTGACATCGTACATCAGAAAAGTCAGAAAAATTTGCAAAGATTAAAAAACGCAGTCATTTTAAATCTTAGTTAAACGCGCTTGATTAGATGCACAAATGTTTGTTTCGTGATAAGTGCATATACAAGTTTACAAGTATATAAGCATAATCGAGTATATCGAGATAATGTTGATAAACCAATCTACTACCCGCATAATGTGTGTTGGGTATTTTATTCCAAATGATCCTTGTCCGCCTTATCTTCGGCAGACTGTAACTGTCATACAAAATCCATTTCAGATTTATTATAATATTGTGTACCTGCTCGCCGTCTGAATAGTTGTCTCTCTATAAATTTCTTTATCTCGCTAATTATGAAAACACTTGATGTAAGTGCGACGAGAAACAAGATATCTATCAAAATTATAGAAAGAAATATTTTAAAAATTCAAATTTAAAAATAATAAATTTTAAAGATTTATCTTAATAAAATGCATACCTATAGCTGAAAGAGCTTCAGTTTGAAAAACTCGTTGTAAAGGTGGAAAATAGATCACTAACATCTGTCCTATTACTGATAATGCTACAGCTACCAGGAACATTTTGTTACTCCATAAACCAATAGTAAATATTGATTTGGTCTAAAATGTTTATATTATATTTAATAAATGAAAAATATATATTGTAATATTGCATAATTTTATTATTTTTTACCTGTGATCTGCAACTTAGAGCATTGAACATATCAAAAAAAACAAAACATGTAAATGTCATGGTTGTATCTCTTGCAGTATTACCATCAGTTCTCATCTAATAGAAATAAAAAACAAAAAAACATAGAATTAAAAAATTTATAAAAAATTAATACTTTTTATTATAAAATTTACCTCTTTATTATAAACCCATAAAGTACCAATAATAATAATAGTAGCTGATAATAGTACATTAATAATAAGATGTCGCGTAATCATTGGTTCTTTTATATTACGTGGTTTCTGTTTTAACACATCTTTATCAACTGGTTCAACACCAAGACTATAAAAAATAATTGTGTATATGTATATATATATATATAAATATTATAATGTGATTTATTAAAAAAATTTTATCATTCTTAAATTACCTTTGAGCAGGTGGTCCATCCATAATAATATTTATCCAAAGAATTTGCATTGCATTTAAAGGATTTGCAATACCCATTAAAGTAGCAAGTGCAATTAAAGATAGAGCAGCTATACTAGTACTCAATTGAAATCTTAAAAAATTTCGTATATTATGAAAAATTCCTTTTCCTTCTTCAATTGCAGCACTATAACATATGTTCATAATTAAAAATGAATAAATATAAAAAATATTGGGAATTAATAAAGAAAAAATTAATATTTACATGATAGTTTCAAAATCATCATCCACTAAAATCATGTCTGCAGCTTCTTTACAAACATCAGTACCATTTTTACCCATTGCTATGCCTATATCTGCTTTTTTCAAAGCAACACCATCATTAACGCCATCACCCGTCATGCCTACTATATTTCCTTCTCTTTGTAAAGCTTTTACAATAGCCAATTTATGTTTAGGTGTGACCCGATAAAATACACTAACGTTATTGATACATTGTTCTAATTGATGTTCGGACATCAAATCAATTTCATCTCCAGAAATTAGCCGTGAATGAAGTACATCTAATCCAATCATACTTGCTAAAATAAATACAATGTAATAATCTTCATATATTTTTATGAACTGTGAAAAATTCGATGAATTCGTATACCTATTGCAGATGCAGTTTCTTTAGCATCACCTGTAACCATTTTAACTTTAACACCGCTATTTATCAAAGTCGTTATAGATTCACGAACGTGTGGTCGTGGAGGATCGCATATGCCAATGAGACCAACATACATTAAATCTTGTAATGATTTTCCACGTGCTAATCCAATTACTTTAAATATATTAAAAAATATTAGATAAAAGAATTAAAATTATCATCAATATTAAAATATACCTCTTAATCCCTGCTGCCCAATTTCATAAGCTTCTGTTAAAAATTCTTCATCTTTTTTTTGATTCAAAGAGTATTCTTGACCATTGACAGAATATTTAGTACATAGTGGTAATATTTTATCCAAAGCACCTTTTACAAAATATATTTCTTGCTTATTCTATAACATATATGAAAAAATATATATAGAATGTAATAAATATTAATTTTTAATAAGTGATATTAATATTTAATTAAAAATAATTAAGAAATGTATTTTACTTCTCCATATTTCGGTGTACACTTCACAGCCATCATTTTTTGCTCAGATGAAAATGGATATTCTTGTAATCGCAAATACTTATCAGAAATTCCATACATTCCATATTTCATTGCTAATGCTATTAATGCACCTTCTGTTGGCTGACCAAGTAAAGTATCATTTTGTATTATAGCATTATTGCAAACACATCCTACTTCCAACATATTACTAATAGCATTGCGTGCAAGATTCATATTATCACATTTTCGAATTCGTACGTCTCCTTTATCATTATAACCAGTTCCAGTAATATCAGCTATATATCCTTCTGATGTCACTAAAATTGTTGCAGTCATTTCATTTTTTGTAATGGTACCTGTTTTATCGGAGCATATCACATTTACGCAACCTATACATTTAATAACATAATAATTACATATTTTGATTAAATTTGATAAACATTATATAACTGTATTGTACATATTCATACCGAGTGTTTCTACTGTTGGTAATTTCTTTACAATGGCTTTTCTCTTAACCATTCTCATAACACCCAATGCTAAAGTTACAGTCACAACAATAGGCAAACCCTCTGGTATAGCTGCTACTGCCAAACTTACACTGATAGTAAGCATTTCAAGTAAAGCTTTGCCTTGGATCCAGCCAAGAAGCATAATAATACCAATAATGCAAAATGAATAAAAAGATAATTGAGTGCCCAAAATATGCATACTTCTTTGAAGTGGTGTTTTTGGAGCTTCTTCTGCTTGCATCATTGAAAAAACTTCTCCAAATTCACTTTTTTCTCCTGTATTTACTACTATACCCTACAGAATATTTTTTATATATTTATAAATTATTGTAGACATTATAAATATTGAAATTTGTCATAATCAGAACTTACTTTTCCATTACCACAACGTACTAATGTACCCATAAATGCAATATTCCTCTTTGTTGTCAATCCATTAGCTTTAAGTAATGGAGCTGTTGACTTTTGTGCTGGTTCAGTTTCTCCAGTAAAACTACTTTCATCAATTGCTAAATCTATTGCTTCAAATATCCTGACATCTGCAGGTACTCTATCACCAATATTTAAATAAACTACATCACCAGGAACTAAATTGCGAGCAAGAAATGTTTCTACGCGGCTTTCTCGTAAACTGTAAAAAAATATTAAAAATATTATATTACCATTAAAATTGTTTAACATTAAAATATTCTAATATATTAAAACAATAAATAGGTCTAACTTCCATCCTCAACCTAGAACTGTGCATCTTTAAAATTGAATATTTTAAATAAATGTTGCAGGGAAAGAAATTTCACCTTATTGATCTATTGATTGGAATTGGATACTACATCTTCTTTTTTAAGAAAGTAAAGTAATACTCCATACAAAGGGTTAATATATCCTCCAAAGACCATATTTCTAGGAGAAATATTAATTTAAATAAATGCTACCAACAATTTTTAATTATACTTGACATAACTTTTATCTAATAAGTATTTAATAAATAATCAAAATTTATTTACCAGTGACAAGTTGGTGGCACCAATTTATTTAATTCTTCTAAGGATTTTTCAGAACGGTATTCTTGTACAAATGCAACTGTCACTACTATTATGATAGCCTAAGAAAATATGTAATTTATTAATATAATGCTTATTAAAAAATAATTTAAAAACTAATTAATAATAAAATTATCATAAAATACTTACCACTGTAATACTGACAGCATCATCAAACTGCCTCATACATACACTAACAAAGGCAGAAGCAAGAAGTAACAGAATTAGAGGATTTTTAAACTAAAAAAAAAAAAAAAGAAAAGACATATTTAATTACATAAGTTAATATTAATATATAAAGATAAATATACAAATATTTCTACCTGTTCAAGATATTTTTTCCATGTTGGTTCTTGTTCCTTAACACTAAACTCATTAAATCCAACTAATTGTTTTCGGTGGTCTGCCTCTTGCCACCAAAGACCTGTTCTTATATCAACATGCAATCTAGCTGCAACTTCTTCAGCACCAAGACTGGCTGCTTCAGCTGTTGTTAACCACATTACTGAAGTTTGGTCTTTATCCTTAAAAAATTAAAATAACAATTTTTTTAAACAATAATCTCTCCGTTTTTCGTCATTAATTTTTAAGATATATATAAGAATAAATTCCTAACCTTTATCAAGAACTTTCATTCATTTTAAAACAATAGACAACAATATTAGTAAAATTAAATGCATTATTTTTCAATATTTACTTTAAAAAATTTCGATATATATTTATAATATTCATGATACATTATTAAATCTATCTAAAAATCTTTCACATTTTTACAACTTATCAAATAACAACTCATCAATATATTCAATATTAAAAATGTACAGATTAATTTTAATAATATTTTGCTTTTGACTATACATAATAATTATACATAATAAATTAATCAATTTATTCACATTTTATAAATATTTTATAAATATAAAATAAAATATCATTTAATGTCACATTACATGTACATGTACCATGACACGTGTATTAGTATTATCTTATATCGAGTGATGTAATGAGATTATAACAAGATATTTCTATAAATATAAAAAAATAAAAGAATATATCTTAAAACATATGAAACATATAAAGAATGTATTTTAAACATAAAAAAATTATTACTAATATTTAAGAAATATTTTTTCAAAAATAATTTTATCTCTCAAAGAAACATTAACAAATTTTTATAAATTTTATGCTTGATAAAATTTATAAAATATTGAAAAATTGATAAATTGTTAAAAATTACGATATGAGTTCGAATATATCTTGAATTTGTACAATAAAACAGAAAATAAATAAAAATCTTTCTTTTCTTTTACAACATTATATAAATATAATTATAAATTATCTAAATTAATATAAAAATATAATTTAAATACTTTTTAATTTTTTATTTTTTACTTTTAATTATAGCTTTTTAATCTATTAATTTATAATCTTCTATTTTTATTGATTGTATTCAAAAAACCAATTCAAAAAATCATTCAAAGAATTATTGAATTCTAAATCGATAAATAAAATTTATATTGTATGGCTATAATAATTATTAATATGAAATAGAATTTGCAAAAATAATGTAATTTTAATTATTTTTTTATAAAAAAATTTATACAATATTCATTTCAAAATATTCTATAAATTGCAAATATTTCTCATTCTAGTGATTATCGATCCGTTTTCCTTAGAATGCACAAGGTCATATTGCTACACTTATTACCTTAGTTAAGTCAACATATTTAGAAAATTTCCTGTCTACACTTTTGTATACTTTTCAAAACACTGTATAGCATGTACATATATATTCAATAGAATAAAAGAATTTTTGACATATAGATATTATATTAACAAAACAAAATTTTATTTATAAATAAAATCATAACAATATCAGTCCCACTAGATACTATTGGTAGAATAAGCATTCGATCGATACCGAAACATTTGAAGACAATACAATTGCAATAAACTTTTCACACTAAGTAATATATATATATATTCATATATATATCATACGCATATAATATGCGTATAATATAATATTTATTTATTTTATAATTTATATGGCTTTTATAATCACTTTAACTTACTTATGAGTCTTAAATTCAATTGATTATTATTATTATTATTATTAAATAGTCAAAAAAAAATTGTATGAGTATTTAATACTCGAATAATTATATAATAATTTAAAATTATTTTTACCTCTTTTACCGGTGCATTTTTATTACGTTCCTTGTCAGTAGCTGCAGCAGTATCAAGTTCATTATCTTCGAAAAGTTTTTCGTATTTATTACTTGCTGTGTCTTTCATTTCTTCTAAGCAACGTTTCGTTCTTCCTTTTTAAATATATGAACTTTTTAATTGGCAAATATAAAGTCACAATTATATTCGTTGCTTATTGTAATATTAAATTCCTGTTACGACAGGATTTTACAATATTTTGAATAAAATATGATATTTTGAATAATAAATTATCAGTCCAGTTTTAAAATTTCAAAAAAAACGAACATACAGTTCATGATCCAAATAAATTCCTGTTAAAATGTAGTAACATAAAATATACATGTACATATATGATGTATATTATATTATGTTTATATAGAAATTAAATACTGCTAATTTTCATTTACGCGAAGGTCAATTAAATAAATTTCTAACGATTTTTAATTCAAATATATATTCAAAAAAATAGTAAAAAAAAATTATTATTTTTATAAATTTATTGAAATATATAATATATAATAAGTCTAGATAAATTATTGAAAAAATTGATAAATTCGAAGAATTTTTATCGAAGATTATTGTATAATTGATATAATATATGAATATGACTAATTTTAAATATTAGTTTCATTAAAAAATCTAAAACTATTATTATTGCGATATCGATATTTTTTTTGACAAATATATTATTATTATACAATTATAATATTATTCATTGTAATTTTATTTCTAATAAGCAATTGAAATGTTATTTTAAATACTCTTTTTAATCAAAAATTGATCTAAAAAAAAAATGAAAAAAAATAATTTCAATTGCTACTAACCTACTTTCAAATTGAACTAAAGATAATACCATCGATTTCCTAAAAAAAAAAGTAGAGATAGTATTCTTATGATTATTTTACATAAGAACATTAAATATCTAATTTGATTTACATTATAAAATTAATTTAAATAATATTTATCAGAAGGAATAATATTAATTATACGTAATTAATGTGATATAGTAATCAAAATAACCTATTATTCGATAAATAAATTAATATAATATTTAGTTTCGAGAAAAACATTGCAACTTTTAATGAATATTATACACGTGGTATTATAAAATGTTAAATAAAAACTTTCTAATTATTTAATAAAAAATAATAAAAACTAGATAAAAAATGTATATGATTTTATCTGTTATTGAAATACATTGATAATTGATTGAAATAAAATTGAATTGTTTCATTTCATTTGATATAATGAATTTAAGTAATGTATAATCAAGCAAGCATATAACTACACAGTATTATTACAAATCGATAATAGAGGTTCCTTTTGAGTGAGTACATATAAACGAATATAAATCATTATATTTTCAAAAATATGAATAAAAAGATAAATGAATACGTACAAACGTATCTTATCCTTAAGGATTGCAAAATCCTTTTAATATCCGAGGCATGTCGAAGGATCTACTCCCGATATGTTGGCAAGTGAAACACATAATAAATTGCTCATAAATTACTAATTCCAGATAATTATATTGCTTTTGAAGCTTCGTTTCGATTGAATTAATAGTTTTGTCTTCAATAAGAAATTATTTGTATATTTATAGAAAAAGATCACTACAAACACAATGTTCGATTGATGTATAAGTATTGAATGACAAAGTGACAAGTAGTAGCGAGAACGAGCAGCGCTACTTACCGTACCCTGTTGGTACTGTGCTCAAAATGCAGCTATATAAATGTGCATATGTATCATATACATATATATTCATACCTTGTTATGTGATAAAAGTAGAACAAATTGTGTCGATCCAGCGTACGACGACCTTAAGTTGCTACACTTCCAAATTCGTATATTTCTGCCGAATATTTAATTATACTGCAATGTATTTATGTTTTCAACGTGTATAAAATAAAGTAATATATTGATAATTATGTATATACAATCACTTGTAATGTTAAATATAGAATAATTTCAATATTATTCACATGAATTAAAAAATCAATATTAAGTATATTGTCCAATAAAAAACATGAATATAATTTTAGACTCTTATTTCTTAGTTTTTCATTACGTGAGTTAAATACAGTACATGACAATTTAATATCTATAATTATTGATGCTAAATCTAATTAATAAAGATTTACTGATTAGTCTAAAAATATTTTAAAACATAATAGTGACATTTGGAAAACAAAAAATATACATAGAATTACATAGAAATATACATAGAATGCAAGTGAAACGATAGAACTGGTTATTTAATTTTCCCGCTTATCACGTTGATATAATATATAGAATATTATATTTAATTGGATCATATAATTTATTAATGCTTAACAATAATCTACACTACAATAAAATACTTTTTTAGTTGGTTAAAAAGAATTTTATATAGAATATAAATATATTTAATCTTATTTTTCTTTTTATTTGAAATATAATAAAACATAATGTGATTATCAAGTTAAAAATTGATAATGAAATATAATAAAATAATCAAAACTTCAAAATATTTCTAAATATGCATATATCATTTGTTGCATTTATTTCTATCAATTGTTTATAAAATTATCATTATATTAAAATATTTCAAATTTTCAAAAAGAAAAATTTAATTAGTAAAATTTCATATTTCAATTATAAAAATTTTAATAATAATTTAATGAAAACAGGGTGGCGTTGTAATGCAAAAAATTATAAACAAATGTACCTATCTTTGAATTGATTGAACATTGAATTAGCCACTTAACGGCGGTAGTTTGTATACATTGTATACATGTTTAAGTGTCGCGGAAAAATAACCTCTAATGGAAAAAATTAAACCCGTACAAAATAATATATCAAAATGTATCAAAACTATCTGTCCATCACCGGAGCAACTTAGCATAATAACGAATAATATAAAATGCGAAAAATGTGGACTCGTATTTAAAAATGAACCGCGATATCGGTTACATGACCTTAAAGTACATCAGCGTAAAAATTTAGATAAAACGATAAAAGAAAATGTACAGTATCATTGTCCAGTAGAATCGTGTATTTATGCTCCAAAAGCAGAAAGACATTTTAGTACTATGAAATATCTTAAACAGGTTAGTATTGTCATAAAAAAATATCTTTTATCAAATATTTCAATTATGACATAAAATTTAATATTTTGATATATACATTTAGCATTACCTTAAAGTACATGCAAAAAAAACATATGCATGTACTCGTTGTGACAAAAGCTTTTCTACTGAAGCAGCAAAGGAAGGACATATGAGAATATGTGGAATTGAGTTCGTATGTTCTTGTTTAAAAACTTATACTTCTTATGAAGCCTTGCTTACACATGCAAAACGATCATTACATACTATAGATGATAAATATAAAAATTTTTTAAGGTAAATTAATCATCAAAAATAAATATTAATATATTATTATTTTATTTTTTTATACATATAAATATAATAGTATTAATTTATATTAATCAACAATTTTACAGACGCACAAATTCTAAAGCAATGAGATTGATTTTACCAACTAGTCAAACAGAAATAAATAAACTAATTACAATACTACCAACAAATCAAAATGAAAATAGAATATCAGATAATAATGGTTCTATACAGAAATTAACATTAGATATTGGTATACAAACTGATGAATATAAAAAGAATAAAAGAATATCAAGTCCATTAAAACATATTAACAATAGTTATTATCATAATGGAAAACGTGGAATATCTAAACAAACGCAGACAAGTATTTTCCAAAAAGTTAAACAAAATGTAATATCCATGGAAACACAAACTACACAAGCTTCACAAGCATTTAAGAATGCATTAAAACTTCAAAAACATGGAAGAAATTCTGTATCTCAAAATTCTGATTATACACTGTTAAAGGAAGACCTTAATCTTGGCAATTTTACAGCTGCAAATTTATTTCCTGGTAGTCCATTACCACTTCGTCATGATGATGGATTACAAGATTTTTGGGAAGAAAAGAGTACATCAGGTACTCAAACAATACCTGAAAAAGACATGTTTGAAGTTCTAAATGATAATGTTACTCAAACAGAATTTGAAACATTTTATGAACATAGTACAAATCCATTAATGCAGTGTACTCCAAAGAGTACAGTTGCTTTAATGACTTTACCTTATGTTGAAGAAACATCGAATGTTGAAGGATATTCCTTTGTATCTTCAGATAGTATATCACGATCAGATCCCATGCTTACAGATAAAACTTTTGATGACAAATTTAGCAGTATAGAAACTCAAACAGAACAAGCTTATTCATTTTTTGATTCAGATCCTTTAACTAGATCATTTGCTTTAAGTTCTATTGAAACACAAACTACAAATAATATTGATAACATGGAACAGTTATTATATAATAATACATGCACGCAAACTTGCGATGAAATACTACCAACTGATCTAGGATTATCTAATATTCAAACACAAACACCTTGGACTCAACTTGAAGATACTACTGTTTCTGCTGAAACACAAACAAAATCTTTGATATGTGAAACAGGTTGCAATATTTCAATAGGTGCATGTCGTTCATGGTTGAGTACTCAAACTAGTCATACTGAAACACAAACTGATTTACTTAGTATTTTTGAAAGTCTTCAATAATAAAGTATTTAATTTTTGTGCAGATGGTGATATAACAATTGATATTTAAGTAATTTGCATTTGGTATTGTAAAATAAGACTAATTTTTCGTATTGTTATTTAGTACTTTGGTATTTTTTATATTTTATTACAAACTAATTATATGTATTTAAGTTCCTGTATATGTGCAATTTGTTAATGAAATATTACGTGCATTGATTGAGAACTGCATTTTCTTAAAAAGAATATTTTAAATTTACTGTATTATACAGTATCCACACTGCCATAATTTTAAAATATGTATTGTTTATACATATGTTTCCAGAATAAAATCATACACATTGCAGGCAATGTAGTTACATGTAACTTATTAAAATATTAATTTAAGATCCTCATAATGGAAAAAATATTATTAATTTTCAATTTAAATTTTAAGGGGGCAAATAAGCCTTGAAATTTTTTTTTATAAATCAAACGTAATCTAATTTTAAATAATAATTAAATTAATGAATTTAATGAAAAGGTATTTGAGATAATAATAATCAAATTATTGCAGCTCAAAATAAATTATTAATATAAAATTGATAATAAAATATTTTTATAAATATTGATCCACAAGTTTTAAAATGTTTATGATGTTAATGTATTATGAAAACATAAAATATTGTGTTATTATATTATAAATACATGATTTTTAACTTTTAATGTATTTAAATAGATGTATGATTTTTAGATTTAAATATTTGTAATCATTCGTATATCAACTTTCGTACAAAGGCAATTTTCAAAAATTTAATTTGTTTGTATATATATGTATTATTATTATACATTGTTTAGAAAAACATTTGTCAATCGTAATTACAATCTTATTCATTAGGAGATTCATGTTTCTGAGACTCAAGAGTCATGTACCCCCTTAAATAGAAAAATACATGAAGAATCTTTTGCTTTAAATATAATTGTTTAACTGATAGTTTCAACATTTACAAAGAAATTGAACATGTAATCTGAAACTGTACACGTAACATTGTTACAATAACTATTAAAATATTGTTTTTTTCTTTTTTTTTTTTTTTTTTTTTTTTTTTTTTTTTTTTTTTTTAATAACTGCGTTGGAATTATGTACTGAATCCCAACCAGTGCTTTATGTTATGGCTTCACATCAAAACATACATATAAAAGTTAAAATCAGTTTTTTTGCTTGGAGTCGCATCGTGATAAATCACATTTAAGCTATTATTTTATTCATGTTTGTTGCTATGAATTAAAATTACATTTAAAAGGATATGCTTTGCCAAAATGGGTGATATATAATACACTTAGAATTGTTATGTAAGTCAAAATTGAAGAGTTATTATTAATATATAAAGATATAACAAACATGATGTAAATATCGTCTTTTTCAATCGAATCAAATCACTAATCGACTCCAAAATGGGTACTCAACGCAATTGCGTGAGTTCAAGGAACTTTTAGCACAGGCTGGGATACATGTCATAGAAGTCAAATAAGGGTAATATGCAGAAAAAGAAGTACACAAGAATGTATTAAAGTGCAGGACCAGCAGCATTATCTTCGTCAAAATCTGGTAGAAAATCTTTGGTCCGGTCTTCTATCCTATCCACATTTTCAAGTGCTGAAGCTAGTACTCTTAAATTGTCCACACCAGACATTAATTGTCTATAAATTTTAAATTTATATATTATAATATAAATTATATAATTTAGGAATTTCAAAATCAAATATCAATCTTTACCTTAAGGATACTTCAGCTGATGAAGCAGCATGTCTTAAATCACCAGCTAGCCTTCTTACTGTTTGATCTATATTTGAAGAACTATATTCACTTCTATTTCCTGCTGCAATTCCAGCTCTAAGTTCTTTGTTTTCTAATCGGAGTAATGATATTTCCGTCTGAATTGAGATTATATTTTATCATTTTATAATTAAATACACTATATATATATACATATATATATATATATATATATATATATATATATATATATGTAAAATATATATTTGAAAAGTGACAAAAATTTATACTAACCGTTAAAGATTTAATTTCTTTTTTCATTGATGAAATAGTACTTTCTGCATTTACCGCTCTTTTCTAAAAAAAAAGTTATAATTATGGACATTGATTAAATATAAAAAATATTCTTATACTCACTGTACTTCGTTTTAAATTATCTTCAACTTGTTCCATAGCTTTTTCAAGATGAATTGTTTCTTCATGATCCACTTCTTTTTTAGATGTCAATTCTAATTCTAGTAATTGAATTCTGTAATAAACATGTACACATAAAGAAGAGAATATATTCTATTATTAAAAGACTTAAAAAAATTATAAGAATTTAAAAAAATTTACCTCTGTGACTTTTCATTAATTTGTTTTTGAGCTAATTCTAATTCCTGTCGTAATCTTTCATTTTCCAACAATAACTAAAAATTATTTATGAATATTATATATATTTATAATGTTATAATTATAAATATTATAATGAATATATTATAATTTAATATTTAATTTCATTCATACCCTCCTTTCTGTGGATTCTATACTATTTGGTATAGATCCAGATTCTGTTGACAATGCTGTTCTATTATGAATAGGACCATCATTTAAAAAATCTGGTAAAGATTTTGGAACATTTGCTTCATTTGCTCCTGAGTGAGAACAGTCTCTTACTGCAACATTTGATTCAGAATCAGGTTCAGTTGTAGATATTGGTAAATCTAATGGAAATCCTAAGTAATGAAAGATTATAAATAAAAAATTTAAATTTATAAAAATTATTTAATCATATAATAATATATTATTTAAATACCTAATGGTTCTGGATTTTCAGTAGATCCTATGTTAGATCTAACAAAAACAGGTAAATTTAAATGAGAGGAACAACTTGTATTTGGTACAGATCGATTTCTTTGAAGTATTGCTTTGTCCAAATTTCCAGTTAAATCAAAAGAAAGATCACATGAAGTACTAGACTCATTTTTCTTTGATTCACTTCTGAGTCGAGTTTGTCTTTGTTCTACACTGTTTAATGCAAAATCAGGAAGATTATCTACATCTGAGATAGTTTGTTGTTTGGGCTCATGATTTAGATAATATTGCTCTACAACCAAGTGATCTTGTACAAAATCTGGTAATTCTGTTGGATTACGAGAATAAACAGTAGAACCTTTTTCTAAATTATATGGTGTTGGAGAAGTATAAACTTTTGGACGAGCTCCAGCATTCTGATAATTTACTTGTGAACCATTTTTTAGAAAATGCTTAAAACTAAAAGGATTTTCTTCGATTCTTGATGTATTTTGTCCTGTGAAAAATTAAAAAACAAAAAATATTAAGCTAATTATCAGCTTAATTTTATTAACAAATAGCAGGTTAAATCTAACCTGTTTGGGATTCTGTCCCAATACGATTCCTAGCAAAGTATTCTTTCGATGTGTTTCTACAACTTCGACATCCCGTTGTTACCTCTTCTTCAGAAGATGAAGATGACGAAAATATGATATTACGCCTTGGATATTTTGGTACGGATCGAGACGAATCATTACTTTTTTTACGATTCGCCATCATCTATGCAGAAGATCAACTTTACCGACAATCGTATCATTTGCGGTGCAGTCAAAACTGCACTTAACATTTGTCACTCGTTGACTGCAATCAGGTCAGGTTAGTTGTACGCAATTTTTTCTTCTTTTTCATCACTCAACGTGAATGTAGGAGCAGTGTATGTTTTGAGCTTTTCTCTCCATATCTTTTGTGTTTCGTAATACTATAACGTTATTATTACATTTCTTAACTGAAATGAGTTGCAAGTTGTTATATATAAAGGTATTTATTTACATATATGTCATATATCAGTATTCAAAGAAAATTAGCTATTAAAAAACTTATAATAAATTTGAATCATGATTTAATAAATATTTATTATTAAATCAAATATGATGTGATACGATGTGAAATATTTATGTTAACTTTTCAATATAACAGGTGAACGAATCATTTTCATAAAAGAGGTTATCCTCCACGTGGAAATATTGTTAATTACAACAATTTTTAAACATATTTACGAATGTATACTTCGACTTTAGCAATAGAATGTCTAACGAAAAACCTTGTCGTGCATGTATGGATTTTAAATCATGGGCAAAAAGTCAAAGAAAGACTTTGGAATCCGAAAAGGTATAAGAAAATAAAATTATTTATTATTCTGTCACAATTTCTTTTTTTAATAAAAAAACTGTTTTTAATTTCATATTTATTAAAAAATATTACATCATTATGTAAACAATATTCTAAATTAATAATAATTTAAGTTAATAATAAATATTAAATATTTTAAAAGATCAAAAATATTACATTTAGATTATTGTACAATTCTCATAATACAATTTTCAAATATATTTCATTTTGCCAGGAATCTGAGGAAAAGAAAAAGAAAAATCCATCTGTAAATAAAGTGAAACGTAATGATTGTCCATTAGATAAAGATGAATTAGGTTCAGTAACATGGTCATTTTTACATACTATGGCAGCATATTATCCTAATAATCCAAGTGAAGAACAAAAGTCAGATATGAAACAGTTTTTTCATATATTTTCTAAGTTTTATCCTTGCAATGTATGTGCAGAAGATTTACAGGAACAATTAAAACATTCCCCACCAGAAACTAATTCACAGGAACAGTTGAGCCAATGGCTTTGTAAAATACATAATGAGGTAAATAGAAAACTTGGAAAACCAGAATTTGATTGTAAACTTGTTAATCAAAAATGGAAATATGGTTGGCTTGATGGTTCATGTGATTGATGATCACTAATTACAATTGTAAATTTTGTAATGAAACCTATATGTGATATAAAACATCATGTAAGTTAATTATTGTAAATACTTTTGTTAGAGATGCTATAATAGTTAAAATATTAATATTATATATAAATTATTATTTATTATTGTCTAATTAACTAATTATTAAATATAATATTCTTTGTTAATTATGAACATTAAAGAAAATAATAAAAAAAGAATCATTGTACAATTATAATTACATAGATTATCATATATTTTAAGGTATATGCTTATTATTAAGATTGTAAAATAGATGGTGTTAAATGTGAAATAGTGAATGCAGAATTTGCTGTTCTAATATTGGGTTCATAACTGTGATCTTGTCCTTCACCACCAATTGGCATAACTTGACATGTTCTGATATGAAATGGAAAACGTTTATTAGCCATAGATGGCCTGGTGATATATAAAAATACTATATGTCCCATAAAAACAGTCCATAATGAACAGCCTTTAGCAACACTTTCTCTTACCCATTCATCTACTAATAAAGTAATGCAGAGTACCTATAAAATAAATATATTTTTATATATTAAAGAATAAATAAATTCTTTATAAATATTTTATTACATAATATTTTGTTATGTATAGAATCAAATGTATATTTTTTATGTACCGTTAATGGATGACATAAAAACCATGCTGATCCCAATGAAAATAATGAACCATAAAAGTGAAGTTTTGTTGACATTTTTCTAACAGTCTTAAAACAACGAAGAGAAAATATAATCCATGCAATCAACTTTAATATTATTAATCCATATCCTGGTGGTGACTCATAAATATATAATATCAATCCAGGATCAAAGATATCAGATTGATAAATATATAATGAAAATTGACAAAAAGAAATCAAGCAAATAAAACATATGAGCCATCGAATTTGTTTTGATGTTAAAACACTTTTAGTTACTGTAAAACCAAGTGCTAGTAGTAACATAAGTACGGTATATAAAATATCTGAACATGCTTCTAAGAGTTGACCGAATAAAGAAGCACTTTCTATTGATATTCCTCTCAAACCAAGATTTATATAATTATAAATTTCAAATAATACTCCCACTAATTGACAAAATAATGAAGCCATAAATATTTTATAAGATATATGTAATAATCTTCTTGCTCTTAGTTGCATAGCTAAATAAAAACTTAATATTACAAGTATCACATAAATAAAAGCAATAATTAATAATTCTGGCAATATATCTGAAAAAAATGGATTTAAGTAAATAATATTAAATGATTTTAAATCAAGAGAATGTTACTTACAAAATTCATCTGCTGAAAAGTGTTCTTTCCAGAAATTCTCATGTGGTGCATTTGTTAATGATATTGAATATGAGATATTTAATCCACTTTTTGAAGAACAATCTGCTAATGCAATGAACCACCATCTTGGACGAGATGATCGAAATCTACGATTACTGGAACATCGTATTACAGCATCTTTTTCGATGCATCCTGATTCTTCAAATGTTACTGTAGATAGTGGTATTATTTGACCAATTCCATGCCAAAGTATAGATTCTTTTTCAATGCACGTTTTGTTCGAAGGATAAATGCTTGGCCATTGATCAGGTGCATCATAATATAATAATATTTTTAAATCTTCTTCTCTGCCTCCTAATTCGAATTTATATCGAAATATACCTTGTTCCGTTAAAAAGCAAAATCTTGCTAAAAATGCCCAATTCTAAAAAGGGAATTATTTTTTATAGTAATATATTGGAAAATTTTATTGTTTTTTAAAAACAAGATAATAGCATATTTTTTATATTTACAATATATTTGGGGAGTGAAAATAAATCCGTAATTTTTTAAATAATACGGGACCTGTATAAATAAAAATAAACATTATTATCGTGCATTATCAAAATGTTAAAGACATCGTATATGATGTAAATATTGATATTAATAATTTATAAAGAGAACATCAATATTTCAAACGAAAAATTAATCACAAATTAAAAAATTAATCTTTATACATATAAATTACATTGAATGTACAATATAGCTTCAATGAAAATATATTTTTAAATTGCAAATATAATATATAAATATATAATTATTTTATTTATAGAAATATATAAATTATTTTATTTATTCCTGATTTTGTATGGCATTGAAAATTATTATAATTGAAATGACAAAAAATATATATATAATTCTAATTCTAATTCTAATTTAAAAAATTAAAGATTATCTTTCATTTTCAAAAATATATTGCAAAAATAAAAAATTGACATATGCTATTATATCAATTATAAAAAATATAAAAAATTTTTCTTCTCTTTTATTTATTTTTTTAGAAGAGAAATATTAGTTTATAATAACAAGAATATTTTATATAATATAGTATTTTTATTTAATTAAAATTAAATATAATTACAATATTTTTAAAAAAATATATATATATTTATTATTTTTTTAAAATTATTATGAATGATATTATAAAATAGATTCAAAGATTTTAAACAAAATTTAAAAGATTCAAAAAGATATTTATAGTACTTCACGTGTTATAAGTTGTCCTTGAAGAATTTTATTCTCTGAATATGTTAAGTATTGAAATATTATGAAAAAGAATGACAATATGTTAAACATAGTTGACACACGATTGTACAATTTTCCTGAATTGAAATGGTATCTACATATCTGCAACATGTTACCTTGCTGTTTTTCTCATGATCAATATTTCGTAGCCATTAAAATTATGCATTTCAATTAATATATATTGAGATATAAACATTTAATATAAAATTTAGAAAAAAAATTTTTAATAAAAAAAATATTAAAATTTAATTGCATAAATAAATCTGAGTTTCTGAATCGTAATTCGAAAAATTAGAAATTGATTTATTGCATGTTTAATATATGCTTTTTATGATCTTGATATTTTTTTTTTCACTAATATGATGATAATAAAATATAATAAAACTATTAATAATTATATATACATATAAATAAAATTAAGTAAAATTACGAAATTCAAATAGTATTATTATATATATTTCTAAAAAAAAAATATTAAATGTTTAAAGTTTATTAGAATTTAATAAAATATAATTTATAAGGATATGCAAATATAAAAAAATAATTATTATTTAATGTTATGTTAAATATTTTTTTATACATTACATATACATTAATTTTTTCAACATTTCCGATTAAATATCAATGTATTATGTATATATGTTTTTCAGTGTATGTAAATGTTATTCAGTGATATAACTTTAAAATATATTAATATAATGTAATTATTTCTTAAAAATGTAGTATGATTAATTTTGTGTTTATATTTTGCTCATTCATTGATGTACATACATATATGTGTACAACTATTTATATTTATTTACTCAATATACATGAGCTCAGTTACCGAACGAGCGTGATATGCTATATGTAAGGAAATTGAATAGCTTTTAATAGAAGACATATTGTATATACTATTGTACACTTGAAAGAATAAAAGTAAAAATATAGTATAGTATTATTTATATATTAGCTGATAAATGTATATATTTATTAAATTGATTTCTATTACAACATATATATGTGTGTGTGCATGTGTATTACAAAAAATTCAATAATTATTAAAAATTATTAATTTTCATTAATTTCAATAGAGGTTATAAATAAGGAAATGATTATGATAAATAAAAAAAATAATCTTAAAGGTTTTAAGAGTAAGTATATAATTATTTTCTTTATAAGTAATCATAAGCAATATATTTATTTCTAAGTAAATTTCAATATGATTCTTTAATTTTTTAGCAATATGGATTCGATTTAACGAAGAAACTACTGACAAACATCAATTATTTTTTAAAGAACATTCGATTAGAAATCAGGAACCAGAACATCCTAGAGGAAGGACATTATTTATGTTAAATATTCCTCCTTATGTTACATCTAAAAATTTAAAGAAAATATTTGGTGATTTGTGTGGAATTGTTTCTAATGTTTATTTTATAATTTCTAAGGGATTCAAAACAGCATATATAATTTTTGAAAATGAATCCGATCTAGAGAAAGCATTAGAAATTTCTGATGATTATATAATAACATTAAATGATGGGAATAATTATTGTTTAACAGGAATAAGAAGTAAGTTAAACAAATTATATATGGATTTCTTTGGATAAAATATTTTATTTATTTATTTTAATTAATTATATAGAATGGTGTATTGAATATAACAATTCTGTATGCAATGAAAAAAAAATGAAAAAGGAAATTGAAACTTATATGCAAAATTATGATAAAAGAATTGCTGAAAAAATAATAAAAGAAAAAATTATGGAGGAAGAAGTACAAAATAATGATGGTTGGGTAACTGTAACAGGACGAAAGAAAAGAGGACAATTTGCACTTTCCAGAAAAGAATCTACAATTAATAAAGTGCAACATAAAGAAGAACAAAAAAATAAGAAAAAACAGTTACTTAACTTTTATACTTTCCAAATTCGTGAGAGTAAAAAACAGAGTAAGTTTTATATCATATTAATTTTAATATATATGTATATAAGATTTTGATATTTAGAATATAATTAAACTTCTTTTTTTTACAGATTTGGCAGAATTAAGAAAGAAATTTGAATTAGATAAAAAAAGATTACAAGATTTAAAATTAAAGAGAACATTTAAACCATTTTAACTTTTTGTATATAATATAAAATATATTTAATGATAGATATTTTCATAAAATAATATACATATCAATATATTAATAATATAAACTTATGATTAAATAGATATTTATTACTTTGTTTACATTTATATTATGACATTGCATATTAAATTTAAATTTATTTACAATTTCACAATGAAAATAATAATAGAAATTATATTTATTAAGCAGCTTTGGATGCATAAGTCTGTAATGTCCATTCAATTAAAAAATGTTGATATGATAGAGGTTGTAACAAAGCCAATAATTCTTCTGTAAAAAAATATAAGTTAATTTTTAATTAAAAATTAATTTTATAATAAAGAATTATAATATGTACGTTTGTTTCCATAAATACAATTTGCAGACATAGCTGCACTAACAGCTTGAGCAAGGCGTTCCATAGCTAAATCATGTGAAATAGAATGAGATTGTAAATTAGTTGTCAAAGTTCGAGCAGTAGCTGCAAAATGTTGTGCGGATATTGCATGTTTATTATTTCCACTATTTTTTAATCTTAATACTGAGTCCATAAGCAGTTGTTGAATTTTAGAATATAATTTTTTTTGTTCCTCTGAATATTCTGTATTTTCTATAGTATTTGAACGTACAGGTGATAAAATGCACCATCTAAAAAACGCAAAATTTAAAGTATAAATTTTTTATATTTAATTATGCAAAAAAAATAGTTATTTGAATTACCTAAATAAACCTGCAATTGGTGTTATTGGTGTCATTGGAATTCCACCAGTTGGTAAAGCAGGATTATCCATCAAAGGAGTTAATAATAAGCTTGGGTTTTCATCTATCCATTCTCCTACCAATCTGAGCAGTTCCGTAGGTGGATCTTTGTCTTCATAAACTTCACCTATTGCCGTTAGTAAGTTGGCAGTGAAATGTGATGCAAGAACAGGAAGCTGCTTCAACTTGTCAATAGATTTTGGAGTAAGGACAAAATAGTCATTAAGTACATGCCTTGCTAATCCTACACTCTGTGATGAAGTAGATCCTAATTGTTGCATCCAAATTCCAGTTGCATTCAAGACTGCTTTATTTTGAGTTGCAATGGATAAAGATACTAAATTGCCTAAGATTTTATATCTGGGACTATCTGCAGGAAAAAGAGATAAAAAAACTGCATTGCGTACAGCAGCACTTCCTCCAGGACTTTGAAAAAAATCGCTTAGAACTTCTATTAATTGCAATTCTTGTATTGCTATTGTTAAGTTACGTTTTTTTCGTCTTTCTATTTCTCCAAATACAAATTCCGATATTAAATCCAATTGTAAATCCATTTGTTTCCCAGGTCTGCTGCATAATATCTCTTCATAAAATAACAATATAATAATAAAAAATATGATAAAAATTATTAGACTTATAATCTAACCTATGTTAACTATTGTATTACCGATTTTGCATAATGCTTCTCTAGCGCAATAAGGAAAATCTAATTTACGTAAACTTTGTTTTATATCATTCCCTGCCATTAATGCATATATACTATTATAATATGTGCATACATTTAAAAGAAATTATTTTTCATTACACTTAACAAGCCAGATTATCAAAATATTGAATGTATTTATTAAAGTTATACTTCCGCATTTTCATGAATGCGACATGTTTTCTTTTATTAATGCATATTGATTGGTTCTTTTCATTCATTTGAATTTCTGTTATTAAATATCCAATAAACATGCAGTTAATATATAAGGCGCGAAAAAGAAAAATTTATTATAAATTTATATATTGTTTATATACTAAGTCCCATATAAATATATATGTTCTCAAATATATAAATCATAAGTTAGAAAAATCATAAATTTTTATTATATATACACATACACATATATAATTACATATATAATTACTTTTACATATTTAAATATAATATAAATTTAATTATTATTTATATATTTAATATAATATAAATTTTTTTAAGTTTTAAGTTGAATAATACTTTAAATAATATAATTTAAAATAACATTTATAATTTTAACTTTTTTAATGAATTATTTTTATATTTTAAAATATACATGATACTAAAAATAATAATTTTTTTAACTAAAGAATA